CTGAGAGGGGACACAACTCCATCACGTGCTTTAAGGTACTTTAAGAAGGTAGTAAAAACAGTCTGGAGTCTGGGTTCGCCACACAGCGACCAGAATCTGAAGGTGACTTGGGTGTTATTAAGCAGAAGTCTAAAGGAAATAGTGTGAAATGACTCACTGTTCCATGTACTCCTTATCAGAACTGGGAAAGAAGACTCCTGAACCACATTAGACTGGACAGCTGGTGTAACGGTGCATCAGAAGTTGAGCTACAACTTAAGAATGCCCATCTGGATATGAAAGCTCTGATTCCTGTATTGTTTTGGTCCCATCTCAAAAGAAAATAAACTTTATTCTAGGGAGAAGTACTGTAATTAATTGCCATTAAAAGCTTCACAAAGAGATGATGTTCTACCAGAGCTCACATTAGGATCTACCATGGACAAATGCACTTTTTGTTGAAAAAATACTAAAAAACACCACTATTCTTTAGTTATCCCCACTGATCGCCAAGCTGGTGTACAAGTAGTGCAGGTCATCATCCAACCACTGCCAAAACTGAGACTTCACAAAGCAATTCAGCAGCCAAAGCAATCAGTTACTTATTCCAACTTAGTATAGAGCATTGCATTAAGTATCAACTAGGGCCGACCACAGAAGTTAAAAAGAAGATACATACATTCTGTTAATAGGACAATGACCTCACAGCAAGGTATCCCTGTTTTTCATGCATATCTGCCGTTAAGATTTAGGAAATACAGGCAAACATAAGTTATACAATTTTATTGTACAACTTGCCTTCTTTTTCTAGGGAGAAACACCTATGCAACATTATTCAAAAATTTGCATGTAGCTAGTTTTGCAAAGCAATTTAGCGTGAGTAACAGAACTGATGCAGAGAAGATGCCACAAGATGGGCTTCAAGTGTAATTATTCTAAAGCCTGGGAAGATACAATCCCCTTGAAAAGTTTTATGTTAGTAGGGTGAATTCTGCAGTGTCAGGTAACACTTCAAAATTCTAAACTAAGCAATACTGATGGAAACATCAGGTCTCTCATGAAACCACTCTATGCAATTCAGATGTGCTGACAAACTGAAGTGTCTGTTCAGCTGCCCCACTAGTGTGATCTTCCCAACACCTAGTTTCTATATAATTAGCCACTAATGATGTCAAAAGCCCCTCAAATTCACCATGTGGTAACATGCCCTTGAGAAGTGAATTATTACATCCATCTGTGAAAATATACTATGTACTACAGCACAGCAAGTTTTCATCTCCTGTGCTGATATGTAAGTATGAGGTACACAAAGCTTAACTAAAAACGTGCAGCTATTCTGGAGAAGGCTGCATCTTTTAGCCAATCACAAATGATCTCTCCTATTTTCTAAGGCGTAAAATACTCCATAAAATAAACAAAAATTGAAAAAAAAAGCCAAAATTTCCAGGAATCTGGAATAGGGCAGAAGAAAAACAAAAGAGGCAGAGCAGTAACTCTGGAGTAAGATAAAACAGCTGGGCAAAACCACATTTGCAAGAAGCCTCTGAAGTGCTGAAATGGGCTAACAGAAAACAAAACAATAAAAGCAGAGAACAAGCAGATCCTGGCTTACCAGCCTAACAAAGTAAAACCTGTTGTTAGGAGACAGTATTAACAATGACTAAAGAAAACAAAAATTACTGCTATGGATTCTTACCAACACAAATGCTTATTCCCCAACACATCAAATACAGTATCCTATAACTGGTTCACTGGTAAAACAGCCTCTTTTTTTAATACGCATGTTACTGAAGAAGTAACTTCAACTTTAGATCTTCATGCTTTTCAGTAACACCAATGGCTATCTGTTAAGTTCCTGTATTAAGTTTTCCTTCTACGTGGTTGCAGATGTTACCAACAAGTGTAGTTAAAACCACTGAAGATATTAAAAAAAAAAAATAATCTAGCTGTTCACTCACTACTGGGAACAGTGGTAGATAACAGATACATTCACATTGCAGAGACCAAAATTCCCCTCATGTATTTAAGTGGTATCATTTGAACAAATTATTTCAAATAGGAACATCAGGTACTTACAGATTAAACTAACCTGTACTGGCAGTGCTGTGGAATTTTTCTTCTCTACCAGTAAGTAGCAAATGCTGAAATTCTGCTGCTAGTTAACAGAAACACAAATTGTATTAAACCAAGAAGTTTCACCCAGAATTTAGTTTTTCATTTAAAAAGCTGCCAAACTTCAATTACCACAATTTGTTGCTTAAGAAAAGCATATGAAGTAAAGGCAACCATAAAACTACTTTCAATTTGCCCTTAATTTGCTGCCATAAGTTTAACAAGGTAATCCTGTTGCCTACCACAAACAAAAGAAATCACAATACTTACATTGCCAGGTTCCTTCATTAAACAGTCTCAAAGTGTGTTTTCTTATTCTAGACTTTACAAATGAAAGAGCAAAATGTATTTTCTTCCACTAAAATTTAGGGGAAAGAAGCTGAAGAATTCAGTGCAAGTAACATATATGCAATTAATTCAAAGAAAAAAAAAAAAAAAGTAAAAAGCTCTGCATGACATCTTTATCTCAAAGGATTATGTAATTTCCTAAAATGGAAGACAGCTAATCAGCTACCTTTGGCTGTACGGGATTAATTTCTGATAATTCAAAGTGCTGTCGGCAACCATTTATACACATTGGCTACTAAGGGCAGCAGAAGCTGCAATTCTCCACACAGCCCCTTTCTGAATAGCACTTGAGAACACAGTTAAGGTTTAGACAAAAGAACTAAGACTTGAGGTGTCAGAAGTAAGAATCAGTAAAGTTACTGTGAACTTGCTCAAAAGGTGCAAGCACCTCACCATTCACAACAGCCAACAGATGAGTAAACACCAACCCTCACAGCCAGTTCATGCCATGGACTGACTCATCAGAATGCTATGAAAAAATGACTAAGGACAACATCCTGGATCCTGGGGTACAAGCTTCAAACTGTAGTTTCTTCTACTAGAGCCTTAATGAGACTGCACTCTGACAGTCAAGAGGCTGCATAAAGCTGCTGTTCACAGCGTGTAAGAAAACTCTCACAAAGGTTCTCCTAAAACTTCAAAAAAGAATCTTATACACATTACACTGTAGAATCACTTCAACTCTATCTTGATCCCTTGGAAGGCTGCCTCAAAGCTTCTGTTGAACTAATATTTACCTACCCCCACCATTACAGGAAAATATGGTAGTCACCAATAGCTACATTTTACAGAACCTGGTCACTACCATCATTTCACTTGTCTGATTATTTTGACTCCAAATGTACAGACTTTTTAAAACATTATTCTGGAAGTAGCCTATTCCTCAGGCTACAATCTAAGGGCTACAATCTTCATTAGGCAAGGCACAGAACACATTATGAACTCATCACACAATTCTAAAACAAGCCAAAATCTCATGTGTTACACACTTTATTTGCCACATGTCCCCTTTGCTTCTCTCGTTAAAAACAGTGGGTGCAAATTCACTCAATTTAGCAGAGTATCAGTAATTCCTGCCCTTAAAAAAAACAAACATAAAAGGTCATATACCTCTACTTAAGCTTTAACCCCACCCCAAGCTCCAAGACCAACTTCCATTAGTACCTATAAAAGTCACTAAAACACAGTCATCAATAGAAAAGAAATTCCACAACCAGTGAGATGTATGACTTCATGATACACAGACTGCTGCTATCCTGAGAGCTGCAATACTGACAGGTCAGTAAAAACACACCACTGGCCTTCAAAATAAAGAGATCTCTTTTACAGTGTCAATTTTTTTTGGTCAACTATCCCCCTCAGATCCACACAAGGAGGCAGGGAGGAAAATATCACTAACAGAACTTAACAAAAAGAGCAAAATGTGAACCATGGGCACTGGATGAGGATTCCACAAATTGTTTTCAAGATGTCAGGCCAGCTGGTCTAATAGCTGAGGAGATACCCCCAGCAAAGAGCACAGAGCCAATATGCCATTCTTGTGAATAGAAAGACTTCAGCACTTAATTGCACATGGCTCTTGAAGGACAAAACAAAAAGAAAATAAAATAAAAAAATTCACATCGACTTGCTACAAATTTAGGGACAACCATTAGTGTGTGGTAACAGATCAGAGTAACATGAATGTAATCTGCTCAAGCTACCAACTCCCAAAGAGGGAACAAGACCAAAACCTGGTCCTGTCCAATCCTTTAGAGACTCGTAAGAAAGGAGAGCAATGCAAAGGATGGAAGTGAAGCATGTGTGAAGTACCCACCAGAAATAACAAATGGTACTTGCAGTGCAGCAGGAAAACTCGAAGAGTCAAAACCCCTGTAATTCGTACAATGGCACACTGTGGAGTTGTCTTAATGTCAAATGCATCTTTCCTAAGTAGGGAGCATGAAATTTGTCTTGGAATTTTCTATAAGCATCTTCAAGAAAAAAATATCCACAGCAATGTTGTGTGGAGTAATGCTGTTTTGCTCACAAATCATGCCAAAAGACAAATAATTGGGTCATTTGCTCCTAAGTATTAGTACACAGAGCTTAAACACAGTGAAAACAGGAACTGCATCTGGAGACACTTCTTCCATGAGTTTATCAAACCTAGATATCATCGACAAAAACAGATCCTTGTCTCTGAACTGGAAACTTTTAGCTGTCACCAGGGTGTCAATTTATAAAATATAACCCAAGTGTGGATCCAAGTAGGGTACTCTACTGTACACAATATGCATCTGAATTTCAGCTTTCTGTGTTTGACAGCAAGCTGATTTATGAGAAGCCAGATAAAAACTACCTAATGCTGCACCAGTCTTAAATGGAAACTGGTAACAAAGTTCAGTATCAGAGATCTGAGATTTGCCTGTGTTTGAGTTTCCAAGAGATTCAGATAGTTAAAGCAAGAAGTACAAGCCATACAGCTTTTTTTGTTAGTTTCATTAGACATTCTAGGGAGAAAAGCACTAAGCCAGATGCTCCCACAGACTAAATACATGAAACAAATACTAGCTGCAGTAGTGTATTTTCACGTGGTGTTCTCATCTTCACTGTGATCAAGGGTAGCACCACAACAAGAATTAGAAAAGCAACACCACACTCAGTAATCATTTTGAAACCATTAACAGAGGACATGCCAGTTTTCCAGTCAGACTGGACTATTTGGGGGGGCTTCTACAGGAAAAATGCAAAGGGCAGAGCACAAACAGGAATGTGAAGTTCACTCTTGTAACTGTGAATCTCAACTCTGTCTTTTAATTAAAGTTACTGGAAATTCACACTGGGGTTGTTACTTAGCAGTCTATCCTCATCAAAAAACACTACACATTTTTAAAATACGTAAAAAAAAAAAATACAAAGTCACAAAACCAGACCCCAAATTTGTTAGTTTCCTATTTCACTGCTGACAGGCTGCATGACCTCTATGGACAGAACTTGCTCTTCTGAAGCTGTCTTTAAGCAACTTCAAGCATTCAAAGCTAATACATCTGAATGAATGAGCAACAACACTAAAGCTCATTTTTCTCAGCAAAGGGTAAAAGGTTTTGCTAGTCACTGTGAGAAAGAAGGAAGTTCACATAAGCATATATGGAAGCAAATTTTGAACATGCAATAAAATTTCACAAGGTTTCAAAAAAGCACAACTTTCTGTATTGTTGCAATAGACAAAATGTTGAGACATTTTGTGTGTTTGAGAGACTAAGGAAGAGATTTTTCCTGCAACTGATGAACTAAATCTGCACCGTTTCTCATTTTTCTATTCTTCTTTACCAGCTTGAATCTCTTACTTCTTCACAGGGCTCTACATTAATATTTGTTCTGGTGCAGCTCGCACATGCAGCAGTATTAAACCTCCTCCAGAGAAACTGTATTCTGTAATTTAGACTACACAACTTTGTGACTATAAATGTCACTTACTAGCTAAAACCTAAGTATTTTAAGTACTTTGACAGATACGTCTCCTCAAAAGAGGAAACATTAGTAATTGCTATTTACATGACACTAGTTCAGAGACTACACAAAGTCACATCACCAAACCCAAAACCAAATACCGCACAAATGCAATGCAGGGGAAGAGGGGGAGGGGGCAGTGTGGCTGAAGGACTACCTGAGCAGCTGCGAAGGAACCGTGCTCCGGAAAGAGAAAAGGTACCCAAACATCTTAAAACATGTTCCCTCCCCCTAAGACTCTTAAAAACACAATGATAATAAAAAGATAAATATTAATATAGAGCCCATCTACCAAAAGAGAATAAAAAAACCTAAATTAAAATAAATTTAGGGGCCTTCACCAAACTTGCTGCAAGTTTGGGGACATAAATATCCAACAGCCATAAAGCTGTGAAAGCCCCCAGAATGAATAAAATAAATCCCACTTGCCTCAGACTGAACAGGGCAACACTGAGACTCTGCCTCAGCCTGTCCTATGGCAGGGCTATAGGAAGAAGAAAAATTTAAATTTTAGAAAAAACATGACCCAATTAAGTGAAAGACATGCATTCAAAGTCAACAGAATTCCAGTGATCAAGCTAACAAAATGATTGCTATAGCACCTATTTTGGTAGGCCCCAATTTACAGCCTGTAGCTATACCTGAATTGGACTAGTTTGCTTTGTATCTTGATCAATGGAACTGAAGTCAGTTGTCTTGGGGCACTTTTCCCGTAACTGACAGTATTTACTGTACTAGTCCACAAAAAGTAGAGTTAAAGATCCCACCAGCCACTGGAAATGTTCACCCTCACCTTAGTACTTATGTAGAAGCTAGACCAGTACAATTATTAAGACATTTACTATTACATTTAAGTGTCTTTAATTACCACTTTAAATTGCAGCGCCAGCTCATGGACTGGTATATCAGAGTCCCAATTTAACTGAAGAGTCATAATGCCCTTCTTGCTCTTTATAAAACTGAAGTAACCTTGTTTGCAGAATTCTTTGATTCCTATCAAGTAACTGCAGGTTATACATTCTTTTCAATTTTATCCAAGTTTTAAGAAAATAAGTTATATGGTTCTATGTAAGTACTGTTCAAGAGCTCCGTATGCTAAAATAATTGAAGAAACCACAGAGGGCAGATGCAGCTAAATGTTTCTAGAAGCTTGTGTATATTCTCTCATGCATGCACAGAGCGAGGAGTAATTATCCACTGAAATTATAACATATATCCCAGCCTCAAATTTATTATCAGCACCTAAAAATCTCCTCTGTAGAAGAATAAGAAGTCCTTTTTAGTCTATACCAGCCAGCTAAATCTTACAGATTTTGTTTAAAGCAAACTTTGCCAAAGGCAGGAAGATATTCCACAGGAAGCACAGGACAGTCTTATCAAGACTTCTGAAGCCTGGGCTTTCCCAAGATTCCTTCATGCCAGTATCACCCCTTTTGCTCTAAAACTCAGATGCGAGATCAACTTCTCATAATGATATTGAAAGACCATGCTTAAAATAATTTAGAAGCTTTTAAACAAGTCCTGGATGCCATAAACTCAAAGTATTTTGCTAAATATTTTCCCACCTGAACATTTCCTTCCAGCCTGTTTTTTTGTAGTCAATGTTTGCATTACATTCCAATTTAAGGCTCGATCAAAGCCCACTTGCAAGTTTTAACTCTAATGTAATATCTGCCATGGCAAATTTTGGCAACAACTGAAAAATAGACGTTTTCCCTATGAATTGTATCAACAGGGTCCTGCACCAGATATGACAGATGCTTTTCTGTAATCAGAAAGACTCCTGCAATTTCTTTCCATGGAGAGATTAACTAAAGCAAAAAACCTGTTTGCATGGCTGCATTACATCAGGGATTTTGCTGGCCCAATCATGTTGATTAAACTTTGTACTATAAATCAAGCCTTAGTTTTTATGCAAGCAATTACAACATTCCAATTAGCTTTCCCCTTTTGGGGAAAATGCACCATAAATCCAACTCTCTGAAGATTAAGAAGCAGTATCCAAAGAAATGAAGGCAGACACCAACAGACAACATATGCACTGAAATACCTGCCTGCTTACAGAAGAGCTCAAAAAAGAGACACAAGAGTAACTAAAGATAGCCACATTACAGCTCTTACAGCACAGGAATGACAGGAGCAGGAAAGTACATATCCACACGAAAAAGCATGGAGAAATCCTCCACCTGCTTGTTAAAGATTTATTAGAGTCCCATATAAATAATATGTGGCAGTACTTGGTTGAGGAATTATCATAACATTACTACAAAGGAAAGTTCAATCTTAAAACGTATCCAAGCTCTAAGTCTATGTAGTATTACTGGCCACAAAATGGTGCTATTATTGGAACAATAAGACATTCACTATTTAAAAGACAGGAATTCTTAATACAACTTGCAGAATATGCTGAGTTAACAGTACATGCAGTAAGGTTTTAAAGTATTTATCCCAGGAAAAGTAGGGGTCTGAAAACAACATACAGAAAGTTAAGGAAAGACACCAAGAGAAGGTATTTACTTTACTAGGGGCAGGAGGAGAAAACAGCCTTACAGCAGCAATGCGATCTTCAGAAAAATCAAGTTCCACAGGTTTAAAAGCAGAAGTTCAGATCAATTTATAATCTATTAATTTAATGTGTACTGTTACAAAAAGGATGAATGCAAGACATTGTAAAAATCTCTCCAGTGTTTTGTAACTGTCCTTATTAGAAAAGTAGAAGAAAACTAGAGTATAAAAGCACTGCTTAAGCAAAACAGGTTTATCTGTTAGACTTCTGTATAAAGCAAGACGAAAAGCTAATGAAAGATCTGACATCAAGGCTCACTCAGCATATTCGCAAGACAAATGCTGCACATCTGACAGGTGATCAGCAGACACCAGTGATCAGAGAGAACTGCTTCTCAATAGAGGCTTGGAGTTATGGTCTTAAAACTGCTAAACACTTCAGAAAGAGCACTTCAGAATTCTTAATAATTAAACTAAGGCTATTCAGCTGCAATGGGACTGTAGTAAACGCTCTAGTGCTATCATGAGCCATTCCATGACCCCAGATTTGAAACCGAGATGTACTATTATAATGTACCATTTTAGCTGCACTGTATTTCTGGATTATTAAGGGACAGTACAGATTTAAGACACATGAGGTACTTCAGTGCAGCTAAAACCCCCCAAGACTTGCAAGAAAAAGAGCCATAATGCTCTGTATTATAATTAAGTAAAAACTCCATCTACAAAGCATCCATGAAACATTAACTGACACAAAAAAACTGATAATCTTCCTAACCTACCCTAGAAGAGATATCCCCATAAATTAAAGTGTACAGATAAGGCTTGAGGCTGGAACATGTATTTAAAGTTGACCTGCAAATGAAAAATTCACCACTCCTTTTTTGCCGCCTGCTGTGAAGAGACCAGGGAGCCTCTTGCTTTCCCTCCAAAAAGTCTGGCTCTATATTTTCATTCTCATCAGAAATACAACATACTAACATAATGATGTTACACATTCAGAGAATTACAACCATGACAGTAACTTATCACTCTACTCTTACAGAGGGGAAGACCTCTCCAGTAACTGTCCTTAGTACTGATTAAAAGGTCTGACACTTCTATTAAATGGCTCAAGAAACTCGGGCATCATCTGATCACAGTATGCAACTGATGGTTTATCTTTCAGACTGTTGAGAGCTGAAATTCTGAACATATGAAGTAAAAATATACCATATAACACATTACTCTTGTCCCTCTGTCTTTTATACACTGGGAATGTCAAGCTACTCTTTCTCTTTTGCAGGTCAACTTCAATACAGAAATTGGAAGTCACTCACCCATGCGACATGCACCTAAGCTTCTAGAAACCTTCATCTAAAAGGCTCCTGAAACTCATTTCTGTTTGCACATTAAAAAGAGTCAGCTGAAGAGTGAACTAACAAGACACACCTGGCACGAGGATGCATCTTAGAGCAATCACTTCTACATCCTACAAGTAAGTGCCAGGACTAGAAATCATTTAGAATTTATTAAGGACAAGAAAGCACAAATGAACAACCATATGCATTAAGAGAAGTTACAACCAAGACTTAAGATGTGCCTCCTGCAGCCTCATTTTTGAGGAGTCAGTTAATAAGTGTACAGGTCTTTGTCTACTAAGAAGTGCAGCTAAGGAGTGACTTAATTTTAGAACAAGGAATTCAGATTTTACTAAAACAGCACCAATAACTGCGTTCACTACACCAACAGCTACCATGGCATGCATCTGTACAAACCTTTCAGGCAGTTGTCCACAGCTGGTCATGAATAAAAAGGCATATAAATTTTTCTCTTCTTTTATTACAATGAAGTTTGTAACAATACAGAAAAGTCACACGACCTTAGTGGGTCAGTTTACTTAAACCCTGAAACAGGAGGAACTCTAAATACATTAAATATTGTTACAAGTTCAGACTTAAATGTACAAGTAGTTGGGAACAGTTACAGCCCTCACCAAACTATGTTGGGGACATGAAGTCCAACAGCACTTGAAGTGCTGTGAAGGCATCATTTCACAAATAGCAACATAATGTTACAGAACTTGCCTTTAAGGTGGTATGTTCATGTAATTCCAGCGCCTTCACAATTTAACGAACCATATTTACTATACTTCACTTCTAAAAACCTAGATGAAACATGAAAAAGAAGCCATACAGTATAAATTGCAACATCAGGAAAAGTTCCTGTTATTATTCCAAATAATTTTTTTCCCATGTAAAATAAGAATGTCCAATAGCTCCTTGCATGTGGGAAGATACTTATTTTTTAAAGTCACAATGAAGCCTTAATTGACGGAAGCTCGGCTATATTAACAGCACAAGATGAGAAAAGGTTTAATCTCCAAACCTATTAGAGCGTGTGTAGTAGCATCAGTAGCGGCCACCCTGCGACATTACAGGAGGTCTCATTCCCATTGGAGGTCGAGGAGGTCCACTCTGGTAAGGGGGCACCATCGGAGGTCCCTGACCATATGGAGGCATCGCTCCAGGAAGATATCCTGGCATGCCCTGATGATGAGCACCATACTGACCTACAGACAGAACATTTAAGATGCAAAGAAGATTTTAATTAAATAAGGGGCAGAAGCTGCATTTTGTGAAAAGCTTCACCCACCTCCCCCTGACAGCAGATGTCACCGTAAGTTTTAGAAGAGTTTCTAGCATAGACAAATCTTTACAAGAAAACAAAGCTGGGAAACTTATGATTACCATGAGGTGGCATGGGAGGTCTCATTCCTTGTTGTTGTGGAGGAATTCCTGGCTGTGGTGGCATCATACCTCCAATTGGTCCAACTTGGGGATTACCCAAAGAAGCCTGTCCCGGTCGAGGAAGATTGCGCTGATACTTGGGCAACTGCGCCCTTCTCTCTTCCTAAAACCAGGAACAGACAACTGTAACAGACTGCAAGCCTAAAACTCCCCAAAAGCAAAGTAAATAAAAGTGTAACAAAGTAGATTACCAGCAGTAAACTATTTCAACTAGGAGTTCAAAGACTGCTACTAGAACACTACACAGTAACATCTGGATTTTTCTCCCTTCCTTCCAAGTTACTGTATTATTACCAGCCAATCTAGCATTTCGCACACAAGTTCTCTTCCTTCCTCAGCTGAAGAAAGCCTTTTCCCTACAAGCTGAGACAAAAAAGCCAAACAAATCTAAAGATATATAAACAGAAACTAAGGTTCATTTGTTTAATCCATAAATTCCATATTTCTAACTGCTGTAATAGCACCGAACCACCTCAACTATTAAGTCTTCTGTCCTACACTCATTACCTGTATCTATTTAACTTCACACTTAAGTCACAAGAGGAAAAAGTCGGTACTATATTATGGGTTGAGTAATTTCTTGTCTAGATCTACAGCAAGATCACTGCAATATGCCAGTGAGCACCCTGCAGCTGAAGACGTTTTCTCAGCACATGGTTCTATGACATTAATTCCGCACAGCTTGTACTCTCACCATTAATAAAATACATATAACACAGACTACAGAAGAAAACGTATTAACCAGCCATATCGGCATAAATAGCATGTTCCAGTAAGACAATGAAAACATTTTAACTTACCAGTGATATATCCTCATCTGGATGGATCAACTTACTGGTTGCACTGGTGGTTGTGAGGGTAGCAGGCTTACTTGTTATCGATGTAGCTGGTTTAGCTGCAGTACTGTTTGTCGTGCTAGTGGTTGAGGCTGTAGACTGTGTGTAAGCAGGGAATGTAGGTTTTGGGGGTTCTGTTGTTGTTGCAGGTGTAGAATTCAAAGGTTTGAAATCAGTACCAACTGGACCTGGAACAGCTGCTGCAGCCTGTGAAACAGAGAGATCAGTATTTATTTCTCAAAGCACAAAAGAACTGAAGCGATGTCTGTTAGACCTCTGAAAACTTCCAGTGAGATATGTAATTATAACAAGTTCGACAAAAGTAAAGTTCAGCTTGATTGCATACTAGTGCAACTGAAAACATGACAAAATAAAACCCAGTATATACACATATACATAAATACACACTGGAAAGTCTAAGACTTGCAGGTCAAAACCCACAACTAGAAAAAAAGAAACAATAACAAAAAGACCCCCCCCACTATCAAATTTTTTACCTCAAATACCAATTTCTGTAAATGTCTAAATCTTTCCTGAATCACTGTTCTATTAAGAGGCTCTAAGGATAAATTCATTGTTCTCTCACTAAATGAGCATACTTGAGCAACCATTAGTGTACAGTACAGCTCAAAGTGTTAGTATTCATTAAAATTAGGTATTTAAGAAATGTTCGAATTAAATATTTAAGAAAGCTCTATTATGTCAGGGTTTTTAAGCGTTCTCTCTATAAAAACTCTGCAGTATGGTCACAAACTTACTACGTCTCTCTACAGATCTTTAATCTCACTTGGGAATGAATGATCTGCTGAAGACAGGTATGAGGTTCACTACAGATTCCAACATTTCACCTTTCCTACTTTTTCCTCAATAAAACTTAGACAAGTGTGCTTTACCAAGCTTTCTGTGGAGACACAGCAATCTCCAAAGCAAGCTTTAGTTATGAGAGAATGCTTTCGTTTCCAGTCACAATTAGCTGACCTTTCCAATCAAAGTATGTCAACTTTATGCACATAACTCAAATTACAGAATTCCCTACATTATGATGTACCATAAACAACATACACTAAAAAAGCCTTCACCATGCATCAAGCTAATCACTGCCCACTAAAATGCATTTAACTGCTTTCATGCTTTTTTAACCCTTTAGAACCAGGATGTAACATTTCATTCTTTCATTCTAAGAAAAATTGGGCACTTTGACATTGCTTATTAAGATGTAACTCTCAATCCAGGACTCTGCAGTTTTACCAGCTAAACATAATCAGGAATATACCAAGAGATTATCTGAAGATGTTTAGTCAATTTTAGATTTTACAGAACGGTCCAAAGGGTTAAGTTGCAAAGCAATTTGTTTTTAACTGTGACTTCCTGCGTACTTGTGCTGTGCTAGGAAACAGAGCGTTAGAAGATGCTGACAGACTTTCTGAATTGGAGGAAGCTGCACTTGAGCTTGTGACAGGTGTCCCCATCTGTAGCATAAAAGAAAGGAAATAGTGAAAAGTCTCCAAACAAATGGGTGGAAAGTATCCAGATGAAAGGATATCTTATGCTAAGTCTTTTCTTACAAAAGGATTGTGGGTTTGCAAATAAGTATTTTCCCTGCAGAAGTCCAAAACGCAAACAGCACACTATGAAGGCTTCTGCAACACACTTGAAAGCAAGTAAAAACTTCAGGACTTATACACAACAAGTGCAATCAAAGCGTAGAGGTCACAAGCTACTCCCCACTTCCCTCCCCAAAACATTTAAATGAATTTTTGCTACCCTAACTTACTCCTAAACCTTTTAAAGTAAAAAAACTCCTAATTCAGGCAATGTTTAATCAATTTAACAAAGCTACAAAATATATTAGTCCATCTATGGGTAGACAGCCCATTATGAAAAGAACAGGAGAGAACAAGTCATGTCAAGATTTATACTTGGGAAATTTTAGGTAAAGTTCTATGTAACCAGGTTCCAGTAGCTGACTAACACAACCCTTTGCCCACCCAAAACACCCTTATAAATGACAAACTAAAGGGATTAAAGAAAGAAGTGTTTTGCCTACTCCTTTCTTCCCCACGTGCTTACAGAACTTCTGTTTGGTTTCATGGCTGTTGTAAGACAAACAAAAGAATCTTTTAAAATTTATTCAAGCACTACACTGAATTAAACTTTGAATCAAGACAAGCAAGAGACTTAACCAGTCATTTCTTGGGCCTCCTAAATAATAAAGGAGAGACACTGTTGACACAGTGGCAATTTGAAGACTATAACAACAGATTCCAGGCTGTGAGGTACCTTACCTGCCCTGCACTTGGGAAGAGTGGTTTAGTAACTGGAGGCTGGGGAGCAGGTGCAGATGCAGCAGGAGCTGGAGGCCTGTTAAGTATTCCTGGTGCTGTAACAGGCTGCGCTTGTGTCATTGGAGGCATCCCAGGACGAGGACCAACAGGCGGTGGCATACCTACAAACAACAAAGAATTGGAAACATCAGGCTGAAGGAGATTTAGAGAATTCTTTTCACAGTACTTTTTAGAACAAAGTCTACCCAAAGAAAATGTATTTTTAAGGCAACAGCAAAATAAAACATGACAAAGGGTAATGCCAGCAGTCACCTACTGACATCCATTCATAGGCAGTAACCTCAAACACTTCAGACAATACCGAAGTTTTGTTTTCAACTAGAGCTTCAGTGATGTTTACGCAAAGAAGGTTAAATCAATGCAATTAATGCAGTTGCTGCTGACAACATACCATGCCTATGCTGCCAAGTGCAGGGATAAGACTGCCACAAAATGCAGCAGATGCAGCCATTATGAACAGTATCACAACCATCATTGAAACACACATCAGCTTTGCTGTTGAGTCACAGTGCAACAGTGACACAAGGCTACTTTTGTAGATAACTACGATCACAATACATGCACTTTGTATGCACAGAGCCCTACGAGAGGTTCAAAGATTGTAAATTAACAGCTCACATCATTTCCATCACGTTACTGTGCGGGATTACTAGGCTGTAACTAGTGAGAAATACAGGTGAATCGGCAAATCTCAAGCCACCACAGCATAGCTGCTGGTCAGGTGGAAGGAACACTGAGAACTTAAGGCTGCTTAAGAGCTATACAAGCTCAACTAACATCTCTTCTAGCTATGGCAAAAGGCCAAATTCCAGTTAGTTCCTTCACACAGGAGGTTCAGGACTTGAGTGTATTACCAACATTATTTCTCATTTCCCACAACATTTTCAATCATTACAATTTTCCAGCTGCAGCCATATTAAAAGGATGGAGAGCAGGCAACACAAAAGCCACAAGAAAGTGCAGTAAGAAAAATATATTCTGCTTTTTATCTTCACAGTGGCAATAAACACAATTTTTTAATCAAAACCTATAAACCAAGCCCTTCATCTGTGCACAAGAGTGGCTTCTGTGGCAATCAATTCACACCAAGGTAATAGCGTAAGTCTGTATATTCTTTATATAAATCCTAAATCTCAGTGAAAAGAAAGAAATACAATTTAGCTCTCACCATAGTACGAGTTTGACAGCCCCGACCTACCTGGTGGCATACCAGGCATAAGAGGTGGTATTCCTGGCCCAGGAGGCATCATTCCACCCATCGGCATCATCCTATTGAACAGAAAATAAGCACTGGTATGAACACTAATGATAAACTGTTAAGAAAACTGGCATATACCTGTATTAGATAGAAAATTTATGGTAGATAAATCATTTCAAGAACCTCTCAACAGAAGAGATTCAAAACCAGCTCATTCCACAGTTAAAATGTTTTTCTTCAAGAATGACCATAAATACTGAAAATCTCCCAAGCACCTGAACTTACTGCAACTTCATTTCTCAAGCTTTTAGTATTCTATTTCCAGAATATGTCCCTCTTGACATCCGTTTCAGACTATTGGTTTTATCAGTGTTCCAAGAACCTGATCTCAGTACACTCAGAAACACTGAAAGAGCAGCTAACTCCAACCACATTAAAATCGCTGTACATCTGCTATTGCTCCCTCCTGACACTGCAAGTCTATTTGTGGATATAGCACCCTCATTCTATGTAAACATATTCTCATTCCTCTAGTGAACAGCAGACAACCCAAATGTGTAAAACTATACACAAAATACTGATAAAAGGAGAGCAGAGAGCACAGCGTAAGAAAGTCTGAGTTTCAATTACAGTAAATATTCCCTATACTAATGACAGAAAAGTGGACTTGTTTAACAAGTCCTTATTATGGCATATTTTTCTTTCATATTAAAAACAGGTTTGAGTTTTCCTTCGGTTTTGGGGTTTTTCCTGCCTCTACCACAAAGGAAAAACATGACTGCTACTGCTGAACCCAGGACACACCCCCCACCTCCAATTTTGGTTTTTAGGTCTGGGGGTTTTTACTGATACCTGGAGGAAAAAAAACTGGTCTGTATTTCCTAACAAAGGTAGCATCCAGAAGACTCCTTTTATCTTATGTACTAAGCCACACTATAAATTAATAGATGTTCCCCATACATACAACCCTTACTATAAGCTAATTTCTTCTGCACAGGGCTGCGACAGTGTCTAAAACTGTGTCTAAAACACTACGCTTTTAAACTGGCAAGTTATAGATGATTATGTACAATTCCTCTACAAGAAATACACAACGTGTAGCTTAAGTTTGATGAAAATTCCCAAGACACTAGACGCTGGATTAGGGAAAGAAATAAAGTAATGCTTAAATTAGCAATAGAAGCAGCCAAGTGCGGACCAAAATCCCGCTGAGAAGCAGTTTGTCTGATGAAGTCAAGCCACCTTCACCACTGCTGTTTCAAAATTGAAAAGATTGCCGTAACAGGTGAGCATTAATTCTGCAAAGCAAACTGGTGCCCAGGCTCTACTTTTAGTCTCATCTGCCACCGCTACAAAGGAACCCCCAATGCAAAAAAAAGCAGTAATGATTGGTAACACAGCACCATCACCGCTTTATTAGGTCAATGGCTGGAGAAAGTAGTCAGTCTTGCCACCCACTTTGACTACTGCTAGATTCCCGCAAAAGCAATGGATGCTCACTGCCTGCTGCCACCAGAAAGAGCACTGAGAATCTGCAGTAGTGCTAGAACTCGAGTGTCACAGAATTTTTGGCAAGTTAATGTGTGTCTTTTCCTAGATGACATTACATTCACCTGAATGTTAATGAAGGGATTAAGGAGGCCAAGGCACCAGCAAGACTGAGATGATTCTGTTGTTTCTACGCAGAAAAGCTACAGTCATGATAAGCATTCACATGATGGTCAACTACGTCATGGTATTTTAATTCAATGACTCTTAAAACAACATTTATGTCTCAGGAGAGAATAACCTTTCATCTCAGTCAGCTTTCAAACTTAGAAACAAAGTTCCTGCAGTATGCCCTACAGCATAAAGGATTAAGCACATGGAACTCAAGAGAGGTTGAAAGCCCTTAAGAGTGTATTCTGCTAATATTTTGTAGAATATGTTTCTCAGAGATTTGCAGTATTCATTTAGATAGAGCATAAAAACTTCACATAGTACATAACAGCAAAACCCAACCATTTTCCCCCAATTCTTAGGCAATATTCAGAGGTTTTCAGTAAGACAATTTCAAGCTTATCAAAAACATGACATAAAATGGCATAACGAATGTACCTAGAATTACATTAATGAGATGCTTACATGTTTCCACCACAAAATGACTGCATGTATTTTCTCTGTTGATGTAATCTGCGAAAATTTATGACAAAATCAAAAATCTAACTGTGATTTTCCAAACACATTGTGACAGGGGATGGTGTCAACCCCAAACAAGCATAAAAACCACAACATCTTACTTTTGCCCAAAATACAAGAAAAATATAAACCATCCAGTATCCTTATCCTGTTAGGTTGATGACTGGCAACCAGATTTACAACATACGTGCAACACACAAAAGAACAGTGTTTCACAGAAGGCTCTAAACCAACACACCAAGACCATACATGATTATACTACCACCCAATAAAGTTAGGAGAAAGGCAACATACTTTACACACAAACTCAGAGTTTGGCCATATTTTTAATGTTGGTTTACAGCCATCCACTTCTTTGGTTATCTTAAGGTTACAGTGCACAGAGATTCCTACGTGCATTTCTCTAATTATCTTTTTTTTTTTCTCAGTTTAAAAAGCACAGTTTGAACATGTAATTGTAATATTAAGTCTTTCTTGCTACTCACCCAGGTGGCATTCCAGGCATAACTGGAGGCATTCCAGGCATCATAGGTGGAACACCTGCCATTAATGGTGGTATACCTAAAAAGAAAAACACATTTTGAACAACTCCAGCAATACCCAGTCAGTAACAAATATCACTTAAGAAACTTAGATGGGATAAATGCTTTATAGGAAGCTCTACAAGACTGGGAGTTTCCTGGAATAGCATTGCTTACAAACAATGCAATATAAAATATTATCTGCAAATCTGATTTAGATTCCTTTTTCTCAGTCCTGCAAGAGTTTTCTTAGCAGTCTCCAAAGAACATGTGTTAAAATGGGCAGATTATCCTTCCAGCACACAAGCAGCAAGTGTTTCTACTCAGCTTTTCAGTGATTAGCTAAGACATCTCACCTGGAGGCATCCCTGGTGCACCTGGCACAGGAGGCAAACCTGGTTGTGCCATTGGGGGAATGTATCCCTGCTGGGGCTGAACTTGCTGGGGTTGAAATGAAGTTGAAGCTGCAGATTCATCATCTTCATATTCATCAGAGTCATCCTGTTGTTTCTTTTTCTGGCTCTCTGCTGAAGAATACAAATGACAGTCAAATAATGGTCAAACTGAAGGCAAATTATATTCTATGAAATTCATTTTCTCTGGGTTATTCTAGTTGGAACAAAACAGTAAAATTCAAATCTTATGAGCATGTTCAAAAATCCACTGAATTACAAAGAAGAAAAATTATGTAAGCCTACCTATATGTTCAAACAATAAAGGGAAGGGAAATGACTCACACCATAATGACCCTCAACATACCTGGGGACCTTCATTCATGCTGTCCAGAATAAACCAAAGCAGTTCAAAGAAAGGTACACTTAAACAGCAAATAAGTATAAGTATTTCAGCATCATCAGGCTTGTAGCACCCTGCCCTTCAAAAACAAAATCACCACCTCCATATTCATTAGGTAATTGTCAGAGCTGCAAAGGCAAATGCAGCTACTTCTGAACAGGAAAGGAAAAACATCTCTCAACTTTCTATATGACTGGCAAATGTGTCAGAGAATGCACTAAATCCAACCCTTACTCTTCTGAGAGGTGAGACCTGTGTAACACAGCTAAGCTTAGTATCAGTAAGAAACAGACTAGGAAATACGAGGTAGCTAGCTAGACTGTACATTACCCTGAGTTTTTTGTTCAAGTAACCTCCTCCGTTCCTCCATATCTTTTTCTGGAATGCCCTCCATACCATAGATTTCCAGTTCAATGTCTGTTCTTCCAGGAATCGCATTTGGAACAGCATCTATTGTTTCCTTATGTACCTAAAGAAACAAAGAAAAAAATGTCCTCCTGACCACTATTCAAATAAATTGCACATGCTCATCAGCCAGCTTCAAGACAAACAGGAAGATCCTTCATGGGAAGGCTCCCTCTGGCCAACCATGTTATTAGCATGTACTTCCTCATCACTGTTAATTATTAGTTTCTAGAACTAGTTTATATAAACTTGTCTTCTGAACTAGTTTATATAAACTTGTCACCAATACAATTCCTTCACTCCTACACCCCCAAAATGACAGCAGAAACCTCTACTGCACACTTCATGACTGCTGACACAGCAGGACTCCTGCTCTGGAGACACACCATTGCTGTCTTTTTCTCATCAATTTCTAAGACTGGAAGCTCCAAACCCCCACCTTTATAAGTCCACTCTTAATTCCAATTCTAGATACTGTTAAGAAAAGCTCATGTAAGTCTAAAACTTCTTACCTGCATGCAGTGGATAGCTAATCCAGGTCCTGTATACAGTTTCTTATGACATATATGGCATTTAAAGTGCTTTGCTTTTTGATGCTGTATAAGAATTTTTTCATCATCAAAATCCCTGTTACAATACCTATTGAAGACTGTTAAGGAAACATTTAATCCTGAAAGTGACCCTCTATCTAACACTAATTAGCATCACTAAGATTAAATTAAAAAAAATAAACTCCACCCCAGGAAGCATCTCTGAGAATTCAAAGCATGACAAATATTTCATGGATGTCTGTAACCAGACATACCGTTGAATATTTCCCTCTTCAGATTGGTGCAAAACTGGTAAGACCTGTGCACGTAATCAGAATCATCATTTGATTCCATAATCTATTTGACAACATGCTTTTCAAGTCCGAGCTATTTCTAAGTGGACTCATTCCTTCTCTACATACCTATAGATTAAAATAAAATTGCTGAAGCACTAAAGGAGAAATAGACTTGAAATCTACAAAAGGGACACTAAATACTTAGAAATGCCTATTTAATAACAAGCATCAATAGCCAATGGTTGTAAAAGAGAACAAAGGTTTTCAGTAAAATTCCCTTCCTTCTCCAGCTATCCGACTATCAGTTCTTGTGATGCTGCATAATTCGCTGCAGACATTAAAGAATTCTGGTTTTAAACAGAAATATTTTAAGCAAAGGACTATGTGGACACCTATGCGACAGAAGAGTCAAAATGCAATTTCTGCAGGTCAGCATTAATATTTCAGCAAACACTTCACACGTATCTTACTACACAAGACAAATACACATTTGTTATTTACTGGCTGCTCCTCGTTTACACAACATGTTCATCACCTCCACCAAAACCTTAAATATGTTAATATCTAAAATGGAAACAGAAATGCCTTCCAACATAAACTGGTAAAAGATCTCAAAGCTTAGAAATTCCTTTATTAAAGAATTTTAGACTGGGCAGAAGCACCACCACCACCCCAGCCCCCACAACAAAAAGGAGATTGCAAAGGAGCGATCGAATGAAAATACACCAGTATTTCTAGATACCGAGAAATTATACATGACTCTGATGCAACAATTACAAATATAAAACCCCTCCACCCCCCAAAAAAGGAGTTTTTACAAGTCTCTTACAACCACATCCGCCCCACTTCGGGTGTTTACGAGAGGCAGTTTTCTTCCGTTAAGATCCTTCCCACAGTGAAAAAAGACGGTTCTCCATTTCCCCCCCGACCCCAGCAACCCCGAGAGACCTGGCCACAGGAGAGCCAAGGTCAGAGGCCCGGGCGGCTGCGGCCTGCCCTGGCTTCATAGGTCGGACATGAGGCCGGGGCCGAGGCCTCAAGCAACGGAGGCGGGAGCGGGCGGACTAGGCCGCGGGGTGGGGAGCAGGGGAAGGACAAGGGCCAAGCTCCATCCCCGCGCTGAAGAGCTCGGAAATGAACCAAGACCAAGCACAGAATCAAACCGTACAGGGGTAGCGAGAAAGCAAGCGCTCTAATCCGACAGTAAGGAGCCGGGGGAAGAACGGGAAAAGTCGGCACAGAGACCCGACCGGGCCAGGCCGTTCCCCCACCCCGCTCCGCTCCCCACACCCGCCTCGTCCCACAGCGAAGGATACCAGCACCAAGGCTTTAACTGCTTCTTCTTCTTACGGCCCATGGCGGCAGCGCCCCTCACCTACACGGAAAGAAAACAGCCGAACTTTTCCCTCCGGAGCCGCAACGCCCGCAACAACCCCTCACAGAAACGAGCGAGGCAGGCACAAAATGGCCGCCACGCTCCCTCCTGGCGCTACCGCCCCCGAGCTCCCAGCCTGCACCGCCGCGCTGAAGGCGGGCTGCCCGCTAACGCGCTCCCTCCTCCTCTCGGGTCGCCCCATGGCGTCTCGCGGTGGCGCCCGCCGCCATTTTATCGCAGGGGTGGCGCTGAGGGGGTTGTGGTTAATGTGGAGGAGAAACTGCCTTTTCCCTGCGGAATCAGGCGGGCTAGGAGCCGCTGCCTCCTAACGTGGCCGGGTTACACGGTGTTTTGGTGGCGCTTACGTGTGCCCACATAGCTGGCTCTTGGTAGGGAAGCCTAGGGGTGCGAGGGAGTCCTGCTCCTCGAGAACCCCTAGAACTGACGCGGAGCGCCCGCTGCCTGGCCGGGGGCTGGTACCCCAGCGCAGGTACATCCCGTTAGGATGCGTCAAGTATCCCCGCGGCTTCCTTCAGTGGCCCTGCCGCAGACTGGAGGCGAGAGCAGCCTGTTAGTCATGGGGCTGAGGTAACGAATGTGCTGTTTAACAGGAAGGCAGAGTACGCTTTACAAACCAGGCAGCGCAGCTCAGCCTGCCAGCGGTGATGTGAGCGGGTCCAGCCACGCTCCTCGCCCCACTCGCCCTTCTTCCATCTGCCGGGCCCGCTCCCTGCCTGCCCGCTGCCGTGGGTACACCCACTGCGGGGGGAGCAGCCGTCGTGGTGCCCCCGCCTCCTCCCGCACAGCCCAGCCTCCGCGGGGGAGAGCGGGGGGCGGCGAGCGGGTGGAGGCGACGGCAGGGCCCGGGTTCCCCGCGGCACAGGCGGCGGCTCGGGATGCTGCCGGCGCTGCCGGACGGTGACGAGCGGGAGCTGGAGAGCAGCGAGGAGGGCGGCGGCGCGGGCGAGGAGCGCCGGCCGGAGCGGCACGGCAGCACCTACCACAGCCTCTACGGCTACCGGAGCTGCAGGTGAGGGTGTCGCTGGCCGCCGCCGAGGCCTGGCGGGGCGGGTGCGCGCTGGGGTTGCCCACGGGAGGCCGTTTGCGGGCCTTGTCAGTTCCCGGCTGCTTGAATTCGCGTTATTTCCCTCCCCGAAGGGATTGTTTTCATCCCTTAGTGTCCCGATACTCTGCCCCTTTAAAACGCCCTCGTGCCGTACCTTTCCTGCAGCCCCTATTCCCTGTTGTGTGTGTTAAGGCTGTAAAATGAATCAAAGGGGTGGCTTGATTTTCAGATCCTCGCAGCAGGGAGCAGGCAGCGGGGATGGCAGTCCCAGCAGTGCTGCAGCACAGACACCCTCCAGCGAAGACTTCAGGTAAATCCCATCTGCAGAACAGCATAACCGCCTGTAACACCCCGGTTTTATGTCTTTGCTGTATTGCAAATAGTAAGCAAGTCACTTCAAAGGAGAAACCTCAGTGAAACCATGGTATTTTGTTTCTGGAATACCTAGGGATTGAACACTACAGAGCTCAAATAACATACTAAACACAAACTCATATTTGAATTTGAACTGTTTTCTTTTCTACTAATACTTGACATTTCTGTATTGACTTAAGTCTTCATGTAGATAAAAGATAATTAAAGCGTGTTAAGCAATCTTAAATGGACATCTTTCCAAAAGCTCTATAATGGGGTTGTTGCTCCATGTTATAACTGGGGAAACGTAAGAAGAAAGAGTGACTTGTTCATAGCTGCTGAGAAGTTCAGCATCAGCTGACACCATGACTCCAGACTTCTGGTCTAGTGGCCAAACCACTGAATGGGTTTCTGATGGGCCAGAAGTCACAGAGTGAGTTACCTGTAAGCCAGAGAGCTCACAATAGTCCCCCTTATTGCAGCAGGGGGTTCTGTACTTGTTCAGAGAAACAGAACAGTAACATTTGCTTTTTACTAATGATTTGTTATTGTTTTTTTAAAGCCTCTCCTTGCTGGACACTAATTTACCAGCAGAAGCAGAGACTGAACTGCGCAATTTTATCTCTAAGCGTCTTACTAAAGGAGCTCTGTTTGAAGGAATGGGGAATGTAGCATCAGTGGGGCTGAGGTAAACTTCAAATGTTATTTGTGAATGGGAAACTGTAAGAACCACTGGCAGCATTGCACATCTTGCCATCTGCTGCTGCGCTTGGGTTTAATCCTGATTCCATGTCTGTTGATGCTGTTTATAACAGCTTTATGCAATGGCTCTTCCATTATTTTTGAGAAAAATATTGTAGTAAATAATTTGCTCTTTGAATGCTAAAAAATACTACATGTTTATTGCTCCTTCCTTTTAAACTACTCTGACCACACCACAGAGGAAAAAAGTGAAAGTCTGAGAGCTCTGTATTTGATCATAGGAGCCACCAGTTCTACCCAGTGAAAATTGTTTCTGTAAATCATGTATGCCTGCTTTTTGCATGTATTTATTGTGATGTATCTGTAACAAAATAATTCTTTTTTTTTTCCCTACATAGCATACCAGAATATAAAGTTGGTTGTTATTACTGTCGTTTCCAACAAGAAAATATTCTAGAAATGGCAACACTAGAATCAGACATCACTGTTCCAGAATACGTGGTTTGTTTCTTAGGTGGCTCAGAGAAAGGTCTAGAACTATATCCTTACCTTTGACTTTATCTGCGTGGAGGGGGAGATGATGTAAAAATTATGTTCCCATTTTGTCTGTTTCCTGCTTGAAATCAGCTCATTTGCGCACACCTTCCAGTAACTGAAAATAACAGCCATTACTGAAAGGGAAAAATGCAGGTCTTAAATGATGCATCTCATTTTCCTTAAGAAGATACTTTCAGACTTGAGCTGGACAAATATATCCAAAGTCTGAAGATAAGCCTTGATTTGGAGGTGAGGCCTAACTTTTTTTTCTTGAAGTGGTGAAAATTACTATTTACACAACTTAATTATTACCATAATATTACAGTTTTGTCTGTTTCCTAAAATGCCCTTCATTGCTGGTCAAGTGTGCCTTAAAAAGTCAAACTCATTATTTTGGTTTACTGTGGTTTAAAATCAAGAAGATTCTGACATCCCAACATCTCAGGTTGAATAATTAGTAGGCTTCTATTTGTGTAGAAATCTAATTTGTAGCTAAAGTTTTTATGTTTCAACTTGTTACAGCAAAAATCTTTGGAGACCTACGTTAACCCCTACTTGAGAAGCTGGTTTGAGAATGCCGTATGCCCTATTCAGAGAGTGGTACAGCTCTTCCAGGAGAAACTTGCCTTTTTATTGCATGCTGTAAGTGTATTCAAACTGCATCACTAAAAGAGGTTCAGAAGCAATCTCAGTGACTCCAGCACGTTTAAAATCTTTTTGCATTTGCTCTTCCAGCCAGGAGTAAATGAGGAACCATTCTTTTTCTTCTGTGTTTTTTTAATTCAGTGCAAGTACTTTTTCTCTGCTTTATTGCTAAGGAAGCACATACCAATTTCTTCTGTCATTTTTTATAGTTAAGTCATTTTAAATTATGTAGTACTGTGCAAGTTGAAATTAGAATGAGAAAATTAGAAACAGCATGAGAAAGCTGTCACTGCTATAATTCCTCTGAACCAAAAGGGATTTTACATTGTGGATGTGCCTCATGTAATTCACTGGGAACAGAAAATAAATTACTCCTAGCTCTAGTCCCTGAGTCTGAGGCAGCTTTAGATGGAATAGCTAATAGAGTATAACTGCTGCATGTCTTCTGAATGCAAAACCAGCTGCAATGACTGCAACTTCGATTTTTTCTTTTAAGGCTTTGAGTTATACTCCTGTAGAAGTAAAAAATGCAGATGAAAGAACAGAAAAAGACATCAGCAGGTAAAGATACTTTGAGACCAAGGAACCTGTGAGTAACTTGGCTTTTGTCTATGACAGCTTGCTGTCCAGGAGCTGTAAAGAAGCAAGCAGTTCACAAGAGCTTTTCTTGTCAGGTTTCTGGCTGCTGCCAGCCTCCAAGGACTTGTTCAGGAAGGCACCATGACCTCCTTGTGTATTGCCATGACTGAGGAACAGCACAAGTCAATGATTGTAGACTGTAGTGGACCTCTGCCTCAACTGCATAATGCAGGTAAGATTACAGCTATGAATACTTCATGGTACTCACTCACTTGTATCCACCAGCTGCTGAGAGATGTGGATGTTAGAGGTAGATAAGGGTATTCAGAAGCTCAGAGGTTCATTCCCAGAAAGGTTGTATTCTGGCTGGAAACAAGAACAGCTCTTTTCCTGTGAAGTAGCAGTTTGTTTTACCAGACACACTGGAACTCTAGTTTGAAAATGGTTGATAATAAAATCCAGGGTGCATTTCACTTGCAGATCATTTAAGTAAGACTTGTACACTTCTGGGAAGCTGCAAAACTTTGTTTCCTATTGTACAGATAAATGTTCTTAAAAGGGATTCAACAATCAGAACAGACTTTCATGTAATTGCTGTAGCTATGTTTGCTTTTCTTTCCATATGTAAGACTTATTTCCCAGCCCAGGTATACTATTACCAGTTGTTATGTGAGAGTGATTAAACCAGGTGAATGCAGCTACATAGTCTCTGTTGAGCTCATTTACCTTTTCTCATCTCTGTGTTTGTGAACCTGTAACAGGAAGCAACAGATTCTGTGAGGACTGGATGCATGCTTTTGTGAATGGTGCTGAAGGTGGAAATCCATTTCTCTTCCGCCAGATTTTGGAAAACTTTAAATTGAAGGTACGTGTTTGTGTATGTTGAAGACACCAGGGTTACTGAGGGAGCAAATACTCCTTATGCAGCAAAGCTTTAGGTTATTTATGATCATTAATCATTAAATGATTAACTCTGATGTTGAAGTTGAGGACTAGCTTACTGTAATTGACAAGACCAGACTGTAAAGTAGCGTTAAAGTTTCTTCAGTGAGTACTCCAAAGGTGTTTTCTCATATTTAAAATAAAGCCCATTTCTTAGGTGATCTGTTGCAATAGGAGAACCCTTGCTACAAGTTTGGACATACCAGGTTGTGATGACCACATGTTTTGCATTGTTACAATAACAGTGGTAATAGGTACCAAAGAAAACTCTATTTTTACATTACTTTTGAGTAGTAGTATGAAAT